ACAGGCATCTTTTAATCCCAATCAAATGCTAAGATTTATGTAGAGGTGAACACAGNATAATATGTATGTTCATCAATACTTGTTATAAGTTTTACCTTTTAAGAATGTAAATTCTTAACTAATTGAGAAGTTAAGTTTAATAAATAAAAAATTCTTTAAAATATATGGATGAGAAATCCAACGGACAAGAACAAAATCCATTCCATCTAATCTGACGGATCCAATTATATTAAGTCATTTTTAAGACAGAAATTGTTTGAATTTAAGGTTGTTAAAAGACAAAGGAAGAAAAAAAAAAAAAAAAATGGCAAAGAAAAATGAAATGTGAACAAGAACGCGTTTTCTCAAAGAAGAACAAGCAAAGAACAGCCACCACTGTTCTCCCCCTTTCTCTATCAAAGACTCTTCTCTTTACTCTCTTTGGACTTTGTTAACAAGAAAATAGCGAAAACAAACCTAATTTGGTTCAGTGCTTTCTGTTATTTTTCATCATCGATTTGAAGAGGGAGACAAGGAAGGGTTCGTGCTTTTCTTGAGCTTTTAGAGGACCCTTTTGGGGTTTGAGTAATGGGTCTTCTTTCTTTTACGATAAAATGGTTCCGTCTGCACAATCCGTTGAAGCTGTTAATTTTAATTTGGGTGTTGTTTTCGATTCAACAGCACCCTGTTCGGGGTTCCGATACGGATAAATCTGCTCTGCTGGAGTTCAAGGGTTCAATTTCAGAGCCTTCTGGAGTGCTTTCCAGCTGGGATTCGAAAAGCCGGGATCACTGTTCCTGGGTCGGGGTTTCTTGCGATTCGGGTTCTCGGGTCGTGGCGTTGAATATTACTGGTGGAGGTAATTCTTTGTCTTGTGCTAGAATTTCTCAATTTCCACTTTATGGGTTTGAAATTAGAAGGCCTTGTTTGGGTAGCTATAGTAAAGTTCAAATCTTGGGTAAATTATCCCCTGCGATTGCGAAACTTACTGAACTTAAGATTTTGTCTCTGCCTTTCAATGATTTGAGTGGTGAGATTCCTGTGGAAATTTGGGGTATGGAAAAGCTTGAGGTTCTTGATCTGGAAGGGAATTTGATTTCTGGGTCCCTGCCTGTGCAGTTTAAGGGGTTGAAAAATTTGAGAGTTCTTAACCTGGGATTCAATGAGATTTCTGGGGAGATCCCGAGTTCACTGTCAAGTTGCGTGGGTCTTCAAGTCATGAATTTAGCTGGGAATCGAGTGAATGGAACTATCCCGAAGTTTATTGGAGGGTTTAGAGATTTGAGGGGGCTCTACCTGTCCTTTAATCAGCTTGGTGGGCCGATTCCAAGTGAGATTGGGGATAATTGTGGCAAGCTTGAACGTTTGGAGCTGGCAGGGAATATCTTGGTTGAAGGTATCCCAAAAAGTCTTGGGAAATGCACAGGGTTGAAGACGCTTCTACTGTACTCAAATATGTTAGAGGAGGTGATTCCCAGTGAACTCGGTCAGCTGAGTCAGCTTGAAGTATTGGATATATCAAGGAATACTCTTGGTGGTTTAATACCGTCTGAGCTTGGGAATTGTACCAAGTTATCTGTCCTTGTGCTGTCAAACTTGTGGGATCCACTTCCTAATGTTTCTAGTTCAAGAGATAGTCTCCCGACGGGAGCTGACGAGTATAATTTCTATGAAGGCACGATTCCAGCTGATATTACCGTTCTCCCTAGCTTGAGGATGGTGTGGGCTCCCGGAGCAACTCTTCAAGGACAGTTGCCGGGTAGTTGGGGTTCCTGTGAAAACTTAGAGGTGCTGAATTTGGCTCAGAACTATTATTCTGGAAAAATCTCTGAGGGGTTTAGCACCTGCAAGAATCTACATTTCCTTAATTTGAGCTCAAACAAACTCACTGGAGAGATCTTTGACAAAATCCCTGTTCCTTGTATGACTCTCTTTGATATCAGTGGGAATTATCTGTCAGGTTCCATTCCCAAATTCAATAACCAAACTTGTTCTCCATTTCAATCTTTACATGGAGATCCCTCAAAGTTCAATGATTCGGCATCTGCTTATATTTCGTATTTCACATACAGAACTCGAATCGAGACCCCTCTGCCATTATTTGGTGATGGTGATAGTAATACGGTGTTCCATAATTTTGGTTCTAACAACCTTACAGGCACTTTGCAATCAGTGACCATTTCATCTGAAAGATTGGGGAAGCAGACTGTTTATGCATTTTTTGCTGGTCAAAACAAACTCAGTGGACTGTTTCCTGGAAGTCTCTTTGAGAAGTGTGATCTAGTGGGAGGTATGATGGTTAATGTCAGCAATAATGGGTTTTCTGGTGAATTTCTACCAGATTCTAGCACAATGTGCAAGTCTCTGATACTCTTAGATGCCTCTCGTAATCAAATTGTTGGGACTCTTCCACGTAGAATTGATGATTTGGTTTCACTTTGGGCTCTTGATTTAAGTTGGAATCCATTGGGGGGGCAAATCCCTAGCAGTCTTGGCCAAATAAAGAATCTTGAACGTCTTTCTCTGGCTGGGAACAACCTGAGCGGTCCCATCCCTGCAAGCTTAGGGCAGCTGTTCTCTTTAGAAGTGCTTGACCTGTCTTCGAACTCTATATCGGGTGAGATTCCTAAAGATATTGCCAATTTGAGAAACTTGACTGTTCTCCTCCTCAACAATAATAACCTATCCGGGCAAATTCCCCCCTACTTGGCAAATGTGACCACGCTCTCATCATTTAATGTATCCTTCAACAATTTGTCTGGGCCACTTCCTCAGAATGATAATTTGATGAAATGCAACAGTGTACTTGGAAACCCATTTCTGCAACGCTGCCGAATGGACCCTTCATCATCTCCGGCCAATCAACAGGGAAGGACAGGGGATTCGCCAAAAGGTCTGGGCCCTCCATCAAGAATGCCAAGCCAAGAGAGCAGTAGTGGTTTTAACTCAATTGAGATTGCATCCATCACATCCGCAGCAGCCATTGTATCAGTTCTTGTTGCTCTTATTGTCCTCTTCTTTTACACTAGAAAAAGGAAACCGAGGTCCAGAGTTAGTGGAACTGCTAGGAAGGAAGTGATAGTCTTTACTGACATTGGAGTTCCACTGACATTTGAGAATGTGGTGCGTGCCACAGGAAGTTTTAACGCAAGCAACTGCATTGGTAACGGGGGTTTTGGAGCAACATACAAAGCTGAGGTTGCTCCTGGAGTGCTGGTTGCGATAAAACGACTTGCACTCGGACGTTTCCAAGGTGATCAACAGTTTGACGCAGAAATCAAAACCCTGGGAAGGCTCCACCATCCGAATCTTGTGACCTTGATAGGATATCATGCTAGTGAAACAGAGATGTTTCTTATATACAATTATTTGCCGGGTGGCAATCTAGAGAAGTTCATCCAGGAAAGGTCCACGAGGGCTGTAGACTGGAGGATACTTCACAAGATTGCTTTGGACATAGCACGTGCACTTTCCTACCTACATGATCAGTGTGCGCCACGGGTTCTTCATCGTGATGTGAAGCCTAGCAATATCTTGTTAGATGAGGACTGCAATGCTTATTTGTCTGATTTTGGACTGGCTAGGCTACTTGGAACTTCGGAAACTCACGCCACCACTGGTGTGGCTGGAACTTTTGGATATGTTGCTCCAGAGTATGCAATGACTTGCCGGGTTTCTGATAAGGCTGACGTATATAGTTATGGTGTTGTATTGCTTGAGTTGATGTCAGACAAGAAAGCTCTTGATCCTTCATTCTCTTCCTATGGAAATGGATTTAACATTGTCACTTGGGCATGCATGCTTTTGCGCCAAGGCCGTGCCAAGGAGTTCTTTACTGCAGGGTTGTGGGATGGAGGCCCACATGATGATTTGGTAGAAGTCTTACACTTGGCAGTTGTGTGCACAGTTGATACTCTTTCCACCCGGCCCACAATGAAGCAAGTCGTAAGACGTTTAAAACAACTGCAGCCCCCATCCTGTTAGCTTCATATGGAGGTATCATTTTATTGACATTGCTTAATCCATAGAAAGGCATGTCCACTTGTAATTTATGACCCTGCACTTTTATGGAGAAAGTGCTTTTGGGTGTCTTCTTGGACTGCCATTAGGTCAGTTCAGTTCAGGTCGTATATTTTAGTTGCTTGTAAATTGTAGTACAGTTTTTCCCCCATTTTTCCATGAGATGCCCTTGATTGGGGGTTCACTGATGATTCTGCAGAAGAGTGCAGATATTTGTTTTCAACTGTCGTTTCTATTTTTTGCTGTTCAATAAGAGAACAAAGAATAGGGCTATTTTATGCTCCAGCATCAATGTTCATTTCAATTCAATGTAGGAAAACAATACTATGAGCCCTTTCGGTAGGGCTTCGCTTCTGAGCCAAAAGCTATTTTTTGAAAGTAAGAAGTCACTTTTGAACATGTTCAAATTATTTTCATATCATTTACCATATTTGAGACATGCAAATATCAGAATTACCCAGTCTTTCAATATGTCGAAAGGGGTCATTTTCATGGTGCTAACGACTTTTACATGAATCTTTATTGCTGTAGTTAGTTCTTTAAGTCGAATAAAAAAGAAATTATTATTCTACTAAATTGCTTGTTTTGGAGATAACTCGTAACTTTGAATAAGTTTATCAATATAATACTTCTATGTATATGGTTCACCAAAATATGTACTTGGAAATTATTTTCTGCAACAAAATTGGTGGGTCCAATATTTGGGCTTCTAGGCCCGATAAAATTCTACTTGTAGCAGCACTAGCAACATCCATGGAGAATAAAAACTTCTTTCCATCAATAGAGAACAAGGATTTGTTGCATTGCACAAGTTATATTTCCATTCACAAAACTCTGTTAGAAAGAATGATAAATACTACACTAATGCCACTTCATATTCAGGCAAACCAAATTTAGAAAAAGAAAGATTTTAGAAACTACACATTACTAAATTCTTTTCCTGTTTCAGCTAAGGCAATAAAAAACTGTCAAAATTGCCGCCAGAATACCTCGGCCCAAATTTACGTTGAAGTGGCATTCTGACTTAGGCCTCCACGATATTCGCCTCTTCCTCTTCCTTGATAACCTTCTCCACCACGCACACTGCTAAAGTTCCCACGAGCCCTGAAACTATCGCGTCTCACGTAGACCCGAACGACATTAAAATTTCCACGACTCCTGTAGCTGTCGTTTCGAAAGCCACCACGAGCAGAAGTAAAACGGCCCCTACCACTACCAACTATAACAGAAACAAAATCTATATCATATTGGATGAATCTGTGTCCCCTAAAAGTATATCCTAACGAATGCTCTTCTATACAGAATACTTACTGAGAATCACTACAGAGAAATCGAAAATATTCTTCGACTTACCTCGAGTAGTAGTCCTCTTTCTTTCAACAACAGCTTGAAGATCATCAATAGTTATGGGTGAAGCCTGATTTTCAATTGTCTTATCATTAATGCGAATAAACGGAGGCATAATTCTTCAAAGTTTTCTTAAGTAGGAAAATTATTACATTATACATGCTAAAACAGAATCTTTACTCTCTATAAGTAGGATTTTAGTAGTTTAGCTTTGATGGGACTGTGGAACGAATGTTTATGTTAAGGTGATTGATACAAGAATGGCATGCATTATTGTCATCCATCACCTACATAAAATACACATACTCAGTAGAAACATAAAAATGCTCAATCAGCCAGGAATGTTGGCCTGTCTGAAAGTCTCTTCTTAATTTTGCTCCAGCATCATATATTTGCTTGAGTGTGCTCTCTCTTAGACGCTCTTCCCGAATGGAGAGCCCTCCCTTAACATCCAAACCCAACCACCTAGCCACCAACCCACCACATCCATCACCAAAAACCGGCCTCACGCCAACAAACCCTGGCTAACCCGACCAGGGAAGACACTCGCAGGCGGCGGCCCTAGGTGCAAACCCTAGCGCCGTTGCTCAAGATCCGGAAATAGGCAGCATTCCGTCCATCTCCAGGGACCACGCACCTGACCGGTCTACTCCCCTCGCCATTCCAACCCCGGCGAAGGCGGCGCTGCTCCATGGTGGTGTGTCGGCAGCGCTTGCGCCTCACGCGCCAGCGGCGCGTGTGCCCCACGCGCTGGCGACTGGCAGACAGCAGCAAGTGCGTGTTCTGCCTAGGTCATTCCAACCCTCCGATCTACTGTCGGATGCACCATTTCAACGGCATGCGGGTATGGCT